ATCAGAGTTTTATGTTGGTTCGAGCCCGGGTCAAGTTTCTCTATCCACCTCGCTCATGGTCTACTTTCCTCTAACTTTTGACATGTCTACAGTATATAACTTGTAAATGCTCTCGGTCTAGCGGTTCTGCGGTAATCACAATGAACCTCACATTCTCAGGGTCTATTCGGAGTCACCTCTGATGTTATTGTATAACACAAACTACTGCCTGATTCTGCGAGACTCCCCATTCGCGAGGTGTTGGATCATGACGAAGAACGCGAGACCAGAAACGTGTTGCAACTGAACATTCTAAGAATCAGTTAACATTTGATGCACTGAAATCCCCCTATTGAGAATCTAATCGATACAGCTCAGTTCCAATACCGTCCCCCTATATTGAACGCGAATACAACAACATAGTTTAGGAAATTGGCATTCAGCCATGAAGGAAGGTTGTAGATCAGAAAAATGGCTGTAGCATATCTATTTATGCAGTGGCGTCAACCTTGCTCATATGAACAGCGAGGTCAACAAGACGGTTGGAATAACCCCACTCGTTATCATACCAGGAGACGAGCTTGACGAAGTGCTCATTGAGAGCGATACCGGCCTTAACATCGAAGATGGAAGAGTGCTTGTCGTTGCACATATCAGTGGAGACGACATCATCATAAGTGATACCCATGACACCCTTCATGTCACCCTCACAGGCCTTCTTGACGGCGGCAACGATCTCGTCGTAGGTGGCAGCCTTCTCGAGACGGCAGGTAAGATCGACAACAGAAACATCAGGGTAGGGACACGGAAGGACATACCAGTCAACTTACCGTTGAGAGAGGGGATGACCTTACCGACGGCCTTGGCGGCACCGGTGGAGGAAGGAATGACGTTGGCAGCAGCGCAACGGCCTCCTCTCCAGTCCTTACCACCCTTAGAAGGACCATCGACGGTCAATTGAGTGGAAGTAGTGGCGTGAATGGTGGACATGAGACCCTCGACAATACCAAAGTTGTCGTTCATGATCTTAGCAAGAGGGGCCAAGCAGTTAGTAGTGCACGAGGCGTTGGACACA